ATATCCGGTCACAGCTTCTATTCCGGTGAGCAGAAAGAAATTCCGTGGAGAACTGGAAATTTCAAATGAATCTGATCTGGTTAAGTCAATCCAAACCACATCAGATTCATTCTAAATTTCCAGGAAAGTTTTCATCTATTCAGTTTATAAGTTACTATTTGTTCTTTGTAATCACCATTTCGAGATCATTTATAAGTTACTACCTGCTCAGTGTAATCGCTCGTTTACGCCTCAATTTTGGCGTACCGACCGTGCTCATGAATTCAATGATTTGGTTAAGTCAGTCAGCGATCCACATTTTTTTGGATTAGTTTTAGACGGATTTGTGGATTTCGTGGGGTCACGTGGGCCGTATTTGTAGAATTCATGCGAATTGAACATATCTCAGTTCAAGATAGCTGATCAACTTCGACCATCTAGTTGCTTTTGACATGTCTTTCGAATGTTCAGATACAATGGATCTCAAGAAAGTGGACGAAGTAATTCACACGGCCGAAAACATCGTTCTAAAATGGCTCTTACTAGACGTGCGATGGGTAACGGCATCAAGAAAGGTGCCAGTAAATCAGTTAACATACCTCCAAGGCAAACCGAGGTTTGAATTTGGTTATTTTTTGTAGGATTTCCTTCGTTTCTTCTTACAGTTAAGGTGGTCTTGAAAAACACGATCATTACAAAATTTATTCCCTGAAACATATCAAGCAACTCAATTTGCAGGCAGTTCTTGACTCATCAAGGCACGTTGTCTCGTACTCGTACCATCGAACACATGCCGTTATTGTCGAATATACACCCGACCCATCGAAAGATATGTTCCAGGTTCGTTCTTTTCTTTGGCATTCTCTAGGCGATTACAGTGTGAAGCGAAACTGACTGGGAATTTATAATATCAATGATATAGTATGAATAGTTAATCGATCAACTCTTTTACTTTTTCTTCATAAAAGTGTGATTGAGCTCATGAGCAACTTTATCTCTGTTTACTAATTGTGTTGATCAATCGGTCATACTTTTTGTTGGGCACTAAGGAAGGAGTTCATCGAAAATTGTTCATTAGTGTACTGTATTTTCTTTTGTAGGTTGGTCGTTCTTCCGAGGAACAAATCGATTTTACAATTGTCGATACGTGGCTAGCTGCTGGTTCAAATATTGTCCTCTCTCCAGGTTTGCCGATTTCGATCGTTTAAGAAATCTCGTTATTTCGTTATTCGTTCATTTTCAAACGATGATTTGATTGGATTTTCTTCGAAATGCTCTCAGTTCTGAATAAAAGTATTGGGCGAAATGAATATTGATGGTGGTCTGACGTTTGATGATAAATCTGGATCCGTACTGAGCATTCATTGAAGTGAGTATTCGTACAGGACGCCTTATGAGGATCGTAATGAAATTTAAGCAGGCAACAGTTTGGCGGCGCAGCGTATGCTTCGTACACCGAACGGAGTTGATGTGATAGGTCAACGACCAATATCGTCGACGATCAGTCGATATGCTTGTCGAATAATAATTGATCGTGATCAGCCGCATACGGCACGCCTTTATGCAGCCGGTTTCGACACTTCCAGAAATATTTTCCTTGGTGTTAGTTTTGGCTTTCGTCGCTTGAATCGTGCTCTTCTTAAAATCCCTTGTGGATTCTTTCCAATAAGTTATTCTTGAAAACTCATATTTAATTGGTCATCTGCCTGTAGTAATTGAAACTTTGAAATATTTATCGAATGGTTAGTGAAATATTTGGATTATTGCTCATTTGAGAGAAATGAATTCTGCGAGATTTCCAGCCGGAAAGTTGTTTTTCTATCGTACGACAAAGTCGAACAAATAGTTATTTAGGAAAAAGCAACAAAATGGACGAAAAAGAACGGCGAAGTGGATGGTCTGACGACAAATGGAATACTAATCCTTAACCCGCATGCATTTAAGGAACGGGTTGGTATTAG